GCCTACTCTTCTACTACACACTCAAAAGTGTGTACTTTTTCTTCACCAAAAGAGTACATTCTTTAAGGGCGTAGTATAAGTAGGCACATTTTGGAACCACATACCTCGAGTAAGCAAGGTTTGGGGTTAATCAACCGAAAGTTCAGGGTTTGTAAATTAACCGTGCTTTCTGGAATACACCCCTGGAAAGCATCTGCTGTATACAAACTTCTGATAGACGTCTTTAAGATGTCAGTTTTATATGCATTCTAAATCATAAACATCTTAAAGACATTTTCTAAACATCTATTTGACATCTGATATGAAAAATCCTATAGACGAATTGCAGATGAGCAAATTACCCTCTAAAAAAATTACTCTTTCTTGCATATGTAAATGCAGACCTCAAATAGACATCTCTGTGATGTATGTGCTCTATCAGGATATAGTGTTAAAACAAGATGTGGGATAGAGTATAAAAAAATGCTTTTAAATTCTGTTCCCAGTGCACGCTATGACTTGATTTGCAGAGTAAAAAAAAAAAAACGCCTTTTGTTCCTATACAGTAGGCCTATTTATATTTCTCATACTTTCAAAAACAACTAATACATTTGAGTAGCTTAAATAAGCATTAATAAAATATACTGTTTTGACTACAGGGGGACTTTAAGAGAGTTTTAGGACCATGGCTCCTGTAATCCCTCACTAGTAAGGCTTCGTGAGCACTTGTCGCCTGATGTAATCACAGCTGTAGCAAGCGTGCTCGGCAGGGAATGAACTGATTTTCATCTTCAAAATGTCGCCTCCAGTTGAAGTACCGGCTGTACAGCGCCTCATGTCTGCTCAAAAGGAGATACTTCGCTAGAGCTCTCACAGAGGGGAAGTCATTGACGTTGATAAATGCATCTCAGGGATGAAACGCTCATACTGTATTTCTGTTCTGGATGAGCCCATAGGCCTACCACTGGCATCGCACCAAGCTGTAGAGCGTTGTACAGTTTCTTGGTAATGTTGTCTTTGTGCTCTGAGCATTCAAAAGAAAGATAAAATTGAAACAAGTTGAAGGAGCTGCCAAAAATGGATATCCAGGACAGGCATCTCTGGAGCTCAAGTATAGTATGCATTAAATATAAATGTTATAGTCTTGTATATATATATATATATATATATATATATGAAGAGTTCTGATGCAAAAGCCTCTAAGCGCCATCTGAAATTTTCTTCTAAAATGAGCATTATTCGCAGGCTCTCATGCGTAGGTTCAGTAATAGGTTCTTTTCATTGCCAATAAAGTGAAATAACTCATGTGACACTGAAGACTGGCGTAATGGCTGCTGAAAATAATAATAAAATAATTTAATAACATTTTGTCAAATAAATGCAACCTTGGTGAACATAAGACTCTTCATTTTCACATTTTTCAACCATTTAACTTACCTGTATCGACTCAACACTGCTCAATCATTAACCTTCACAGACATGTCCTATGAAAATGTAAGTGCTTCTCCTGTTGCCCCAGACCAGACTGGCATCATTCTGAACTCATATTACCTCACCATACTCAAATTGCTCTTTTTACATGCTTCTCCCTCCATCTCCTTTCTACTTGAGCATTGGCCTCTCCTACAACACAACTGTAGCAAACCCATTGCTCTATATAGAGAGTCTGTCAGTGTGAAGTCTTACTTATGTTCTCTACGGGGAGCAGGAAGCATGTAATTGTGTTCTCCCCTTGATTATGACACTGCAGTAGTCTACTTTAATGCATACATCACTGTCATTATCAAGATCATCTAAAATGAGCATTATTCGCAGGCTCTCATGCGTAGGTTCAGTAATAGGTTCTTTTCATTGCCAATAAAGTGAAATAACTGAACATAAATATGAGAAAAATGCTAATTTTAGAAGAAAATTATTTATATATATATCTCACCATACTCAAATTGCTCTTTTTACATGCTTCTCCCTCCATCTCCTTTCTACTTGAGCATTGGCCTCTCCTACAACACAACTGTAGCAAACCCATTGCTCTATATAGAGAGTCTGTCAGTGTGAAGTCTTACTTATGTTCTCTACGGGGAGCAGGAAGCATGTAATTGTGTTCTCCCCTTGATTATGACACTGCAGTAGTCTACTTTAATGCATACATCACTGTCATTATCAAGATCAAATCAAGCTTAGGAGGTTTAATGAATGTCTTTAGCGCTGCTCTTTAGTTCATTGGTTCTTAAACAGTGGTTCGTGTAACACCAAGGTTCCAGAGGTCCTCTTTGAAGTTGCACTTCTGCTGCAAATATGACAAATGTGCTTGATTTCAAACTTCAACAATATGGTGCTGTCAATGGATAAAACTAATTCAGAAATGCAGGGAATTTCTAGAACTATTGTAAGCCTCTGGCAAATTCTCTTGTTTTCTTCTTCTTCTTTATTTTACTGCAGCATCCATTGTTGTACCTTAAAAAAAACTATTTTGCAAGTATATCTAAACCACATGGTTACTTCATGTTTAGATTGTGTGCACAAGGGAATCGTGGGGTATATTTTACACAATTATGTATATGCTCTAAATATTTCTGCTTTTTATTCATGAGGGACTGGTGTTTATTATGGTGAATCATATTAAGAAAAGAAAAAATACAGCCAAGTTACCAACTTGAACTTCACAACAGCCTGGCTAGCAAACTGCCAAAAGAATGACTATATATGGATCACTTGTGAAGGAATGAGTGCTTTGAACATTGAGATCGCTGAAATAAAGCAAAGGGCTTGAAACTGGTAATTATGGCCAGAAGGGAGGAGAGGCAAGCACGTTTTGTGCATTTTTTGGGGTGCTCCGTTCCAATACATTTTTGAATTAAAATTGCACAATTGTGCACCTCCACCAAGAGATGGCGCCCTCACCTCATCAATGGCCAAGTGCTGGGACACTTTTGAGTGAATTGAGTAAATTTTCTGCCATCTACAAGAACATTTTTAAGGCCTTACATCAACCCAGATCTTTATCAAACATACCTAATTTAACTAATCAGTTTGTTACAGTAGACTGCACTGTATGGAGGAAAAAACAAACAAGCCAAAAAACAAACCAAAAAAAAACTGATGGATCATACAAGTTTAAAACTACAAAAAGGGGAATAAATGATGTCACGATTCTTTTGAGTGACCTTTTTTTTTTCAACTAGTCGTGTGACAGCATGAATGTGTTGTTTTCGGCTTAACAACTTACAGAGTCAGAGAGATTCAAAAACCATTAGAAGGAAAAGAAATATTTTCAGAGTAATAAAATGCAAATATAGAAAATAATGGGTTTGTCTAGAACTGTCCTAAAACAGAATTGTGCATGCATTTAATTACTCCTTCTTTGCGTTGCTCATGATTATATTGTTAAAATTATGTGAAAATATGAGGAGCTCCGACAACTCTAAACAATTTCAATATCTTTCTTCAACAGTATGAGAACACAAGATAATGAATATAATATTTTTAATAACATTTTAATGATAATATTATGTTTATTGATTTCAGATGGTGTGTGTGTGTGTGTGTGTGTGTGTGTGTGTGTGTGGTGAGACACTTATGTAAGTGAATGGGGCCAATGTAAAACTTACTTGTCTTATATATCTATTAAGAAGCATGTAAAGTATGACATGAGCAAGAGTGCTGTTGTTCTAAATATCAACACCATTTTTATTGGCCTGAGGCTGAACCATAGCCATGTTACCAACAGCACGGTTGTGAGTGTTATTACTTTTATAAACAGTCCAAACAAACAAAATTTAAAATAATTAAATTTTAGATTAAATTTTGACAGTTATTTCTATTGTTTATTTTAGCCCAGCCAAATAAAATAGTACCAGATGAAACCAATGTGGAATTCTGCCTGACACTTAAACCTCAAACTAATTTATTGAGATGCACCTGTATTTAAAAATGTCACTTATTCCTGTGATATAAAGCTGGATTTTCCGCATCATTACTCCAGTCTTCAGTGTCACATGATCCTTCAGAAATCATTCTAATATGCTGATTTGTTGCTCAAGAAACATTACTTATTATTATCAATGTTGAAAACAGTTAATATGTTTGTGGAAAAATGTGTAATTTTTTTCAGGACTCTGATCAATAGAAAGCACAGCATTTAAAAAAAATAAAATAATAATAATTTCTGTTAGATTTTTTTTGTTTATTATAAATGTCTTTAATGTCACTTTTGATCAATTTAATGCGTTCTTGATAAATAAAAGTATTAATTTCTTTTAAAAATACACCATTGAAATCTCACATATTATATATGAATAAAAAAACTGGGATGATACATTTTTGTTTCAATTATTATACTGTTATTATAATTAACAATCATTATGGTGCCTGTTTTAAAACCCTAACTGATTTTAGTTAAATAAATAAATAAATAACACTTTGAAAAGAAGTAAATAGTAACTATTGCAAATAGCAAACACATTAAAGCAGTTTTATATATTACCACAATTATGATTTTACAAAAACACACTGCAAAAAAAAAATATGAGAACATAGATAAATAAAAATATATTTAACAAATATTTTTTAACTTTTCTAATTGTATTTAATATTTTTATTTTCCCAAATGGTGAATATACTATTTCCAGTAATTACAACTCTGTCTTTATTTGGGCGTACATCAACATCATCTGCTGCACATTATGCATTGTAATTATATTGGTATTATATAAATTACTATTATATAGGTTAATGTGTAACTTAAAGATATACTTTTATTTGTTTTACATTCGTTTAACAGTTTTATACAGTTATTTTATCAGTTTGTCTGTTTCTGTTTGAAACTACAATACATTATGCAATATCATTTGATATACATTATTTGAACGTACATAAATTAATGATTTGTTGATCATTATGCCATGTAATTGTATATGCTTGCATTACAAAGTATCAATAGATTATGTAAAGTGTCAGTCTGTAAATATTTCAAAGTACAAATCATTGACTTTTTTCTGATCTCTCTCTTTCTCTGTAGGCTAGAAGGATGTTTGATGGAGAGATGGCGAGCTTGGAAGCGATCCTGGCTACAAACACAGTGAAAGTGCCCAGGCCTGTGAAGGTCGTGGACCTTGAGAGAAGTGGAGCTCTTCTCATAATGGAACATGTGGAGATGAGGAGCTTAAATAAGTATGACTCAAAATCATGTGAACCCATTGTAATAGGAGTGAGAATAGGGTAAATATTACATTAGCATTTTGGGCATTTGCTCTTTTTAAAATGTTTAATGTTTATGTAGATACTCATCAAAGCTGGGGGAACAACTAGCTGACCTGCATCTTTACAACAAGAAACAGACAGAGAAACAAAACAAGGAACAGCAGTCTGTTGGTAATGTTTTTTTTTCCTCTCCCAATATTGCATTGTTGTAGAATTTTGATTACATCATTATTTATTTGAGTTTCTGTGTTTACAAAGGAAAAGGATCAGGAACATCTGAAATTCAACTAGCCAACAAGTTTGGGTTTCATGTGGCTACCTGCTGTGGTTATATCCCTCAGGTCAGCATCACCAGGGTGTTTGATCATAAAAAACAAATGGGGTGATTCATATTTAGACATAATTTGCAATAAGAGGTTTTTATCTCTCCTTTGGTGTTCAGGTAAATGATTGGCAGGATGATTGGGTGTCTTTTTTCGCCCAGCAAAGGCTGCAGTACCAGCTCAGCTTGGTGGAACAGTCATATGGAGACAGAGAAGCCAGGGAATTGTGGGCCAAACTCCAAGTAAACCAAACTGCTCAGATTTTTACTTAAGCATAATAACACCCAAAAATACAAAAAGATATGGTCTCTAGTTTTCAGATGGAATAAACATGAGTAAAGCCATATATTCTTTTAAAGGGGTGGTTGATTGCGATTTCACTTTTTTAAACGTTAGTTAGTGTGTAATGTTGCTGTTTGAGCATAAACAATATCTGCAAAGTTACGAAGCTGAAAGTTCAATGCAAACGGAGATATCTAAGATGTCTTTTAAAATTCTGGCGGTTTAATGCCTACAAAAACGGCTGGTAGAGACTACAACGAGTTACTTCCCGGGGTTGTGATGTCACAAACCCTAATAAACCCCGCCCTCGGGAACATGCAACAAAGGGGGCGAGGCCATGCTGCGCTGCTTTAGAGAAGAGGAAGAGAAAACTAG